GCCAAATGCTCAGTGAAGACATTCACAGAGATGGAAGAAGCGCCCCGTTTCTCAACCTGCGCATTAGAGTGGAAGGTTTGCATCTGCTTGGGCTCCATCTCAAATCTTACCTCTGCTAGGAAGAACCAAGTTCATCTGTCTGACAGCGTGGGAAAGCAAATTCTATTGAGACTAGGAAAACCATAAATACAATTCTAGAATTGTACCTTCATGTCTTGCTAACATACTTGGTAGGCTTTGTTGTTGTTGTTGTTATTTTGTTTTGTTTATTGGATTTTTTTTAAGTCTGAAGTGAATCCAGGGCCTTGGGCATGCTAGACAAGTGCTCTGTTGTTGAGCTGTGTTCCCAGCCCATTGTTGTTGTTTTTTTGTTATTTATTTTTATTCTTACGTGCATTGCTGTTTCCTCCATGTGTATCGGTGTCAGGTTCCCAGGAACGATATATAGTTACAGACAGTTGGGAGCTGTCATGCAGGTGTGGGGAATTGAACCTGGTCCTCTGGAAGAGCTGTCAGTGTTCTTAATCTCTGAGCCATCCCTCCAACCCTGTTTGTTTGTTTGTTTTTGAAACAGGATTTCTGTTTAGCTCTGGCTGGCCTGGAACTCAGAGATCTGCCTGCTGCCTCTGCCTCCCAAATGCTGGGTTTAAAGGTTTATGCCACCACCACCAGCTTAGAGAAAGAATGGATTTTGAGCAAGTTTTCTTTTACAACAACCTGTCACTAATTAAATCTAATTAATGTCATTAATTAACGATTTCCTCTCTCTCTCTCTCTCTCTCTGTATGTGTGTGTGTGTTTGTGTGTAATGAGGGGTGCACACGTGTGCATGTGTGGAAGGCGGGGGAACCTTTCAGGAGTCTGTTTTCTCTGTCCACCATAGGTTCTGGGCCTAAACTCAAGCTTCGTGTTTGCACAGTGAATGCTTTTATCCGTCTCCCTGCTCCCCCCCCCCCCCCCCCCCCCCCGTATACATAGCTCTTTCTTCTCTAGATAGCTTGGAACCTATTAAAGCTTACTTGAAAGTTTAGAAAAAGTTGTTCTGTGGTGGAAACATTACTCGGATCAAAATGTGTCTTTTAGTTTTCTCACAGGACTCCTCAGCTGGATCTACACAGCCTTTTTATCCCTTACCCTTGGCCCCATTAGCTGTTTCATGTTTGTCAACTTTTAACAGAAAACACATAGCCCTATGGCATATATTTTGGATTCTTGGGCAACATTTTGCCTGCTTCTGGACTTTTTCTATCCTTTTTTCTTTCTTCCTCATTTCTTTTCTTTCTTTCTTTCTTTTTTTTTATTGAAAAAAAAAATTTCCGCCTCCTCCCAGCCTCCCACTCCTCCCCCCTCCCCCCACTCCTCTTCCCCTCCCTCTCAAGTCTGAAGAGCAGTCAGGGTTCCCTGCCCTGTGGAAAATCCAAAGTCCTCCCCCCTCCGTCCTGGTCTAGGAAGGTGAACATCCAAATTGGCTAGGCTTCCACAAAGCCAGAACATGTAGTAGGATCAAAACCCAGTGCCATTGTCCTTGGCTTCTCAGCAGCCCTCATTGTCCGCCATATTCAGAGAGTCCGGTTTTATCCCCTGCTTTTTCAGTCACAGTCCAGCTGGCCTTGGTGAGCTCCCAATAGATCAGCCCCACTGTCTCCGTGGGTGGGTGCACCCCTCTTGGTCCTGACTTCCTTGCTCATCTTCAATGGAAGAATGGATGAAGAAAGTGTGGAATATATACACATTAGAGTACTACTCAGCGGTAAAAAACAATGACTTCTCAAATTTTGCATGCAAATGGATGGAAATAGAAAATACTATCTTGAGTGAGGTAACCCAGACCCAAAAAGATGAACATGGGATGTACTCACTCATAATTGGTTTCTAGCCATAAATAAAGGTCAGTGAGTCTATAATTTGATATCCTAAAGAAGCTAAATAAGAAGGTGAACCCAAAGAAAAACATATAGCTATCCTCCTGGGTAGGGGAAGTAGACAAGATTGCCAGGCAAAAAATCGGGATCTTAAGGGTGGGGTGGGAGGGGGGTAAGGGGAGATGGGGAGAGAAAAGTGAGAAGGGTAGGATGGGGAGAACTTGGGGCAACAGGATGATTGGTATAAAGGAAGGTTGGATAGGGCAGTAGGGAAGCACATATCTTAATTAAGGGAGCCATCTTAGGATTGGGAAGAGACTTGGACCTAGAGGGGCTTCCAGGTGCCCAAGGCGAGGTCCCCAGTTAGTTCCTGGGGCAGCTGAAGATAGGGAACCTGAAATGATCCTATCCTATAGCCATACTGATGAATATTTTGCATATCACCATAGAACCTTCATCTGGCGATGGATGGAGATAGAGACAGAGACCCACACTGGAGCACTGGACTGAGCTCCCAAAGTCCCAATGAGGAACAGAAGGAGGGAGAAGATGAGCAAGGAAGTCCTCATTTCTTTTTAAACTGATTCTTATGAGACTTGTTTCCTGGAACTGCAGAACTAGGTGCTTGGTCGGGTAATGGTGACCTAGCGCCCTCTGGTGGAGTTTTGTGGTAAATTCAAACTTCTCCCCAGAAGGCTTGAGTGTGAAGGTCTTTCTTAACTTGCTTCTGTTACAGAGTATATATAATAAATTATCAATGCCCAATGCTTTCCCTACAATGACTGCTTGAGAGATACTGTATTCATATTATGGACCCACTACCAGAGGTTTATCAAAATTAATCTTCAGATACCCAGAAACGGGCAGCCAACTCTACTTGCGCCTCACCCCACATCAGTGTGCGAGGAAGGGGAAGAGAAAAGGCCTCTGCAAAAGCAACTGAGAAGGGCCTAGGGATCAAGAATAAATGGGAAATGGATTTGAAGACTTGATCGTGAACGTGTCTGACCCTCAGCCCTCACTCGGCTCTGAGCCCAAAAACTTAAACCAAGCCAACAGTTGAGAGAGAGAGAGTAATGCCAGACTCTCTTCTCAGGGCAATCAGAGTTGGGTAGAAAGTCTAGCATAAACTAGGCCTTTAGGGGTGTCTGGGGTATTTACACTGTGCCATTTTCTCTACCAGGACTCTGGTTGGTCCTGCCTCTGCACTCGCCCCCCTTCAGGCTTTGTTTAATCCCGGGATCACTTCCTTGTCCATTGCCATTAGAGAGGCCTCTGTAGCCTGGGTGACACTGTCACAGACTTGAGTCTGACACAGGGCTGAAATTGCTGGCTTTTCTCGTCTCCAGCAAGTGGACCTTCAATGGAGCCAGCGTTCTAGACTTTCAGTGCAGAAGCACGTAAGACCATAGTGATGATAATGAGAGCTGGGACTTAGGACTAAACACAACCAGAGCACCACCACTAACATCAGAAGACTAAACAATTTGGGAATGGATCTGGGGGTTTTACTCTCCCTGAGAACAAAGAGAGCAGGGCATGAGCAAGAAGATGACATCAGGCTTTAAGATGGTTGGAATTGCCCAGGGGCTGGCAGAGCCTCTTACCTGTTGAGCAACATGTTTAGAGGGAATGAGTGGTGGGGTGGGCAGTGGGACCAGATGAGCCTCCAGTAACCATTAGTGGTCACACAGTTGGAATACACAGGAGGAATTGTGTAACTTGGATACCACAAAGTCCTTCTTCTTCCGAAACCTACATATTAGCTGGTGAGGAAAAACTGCCCAAGGGAAATGATTTCAAAACCAGGACAAAGCCAGATGTGCCAGCTGTTTTTGGAAAATTAAGGCAGATTTTTTTCTGTAACAAAGAAGTCTATCTGGGCTCTCAGGAAAAAGCGCCTTGTGGGTGCTCACGGCCTCGGCAGTGGAAGGGGTTACAGTCTGTGTATCTAGTGAGAGGCAAAATTGTGGCTGTGGAATGTGAGCTGCAAGGGGGAAAAGTTGCAAAACCCAAGGATTATGTGTAATAAGTTCCACATGTAAGGGGGTAAAGCAAGCTTTGGAAAAGTAGGCATGCTAAAACACGGAGTTGGGAAAGTACCAAGCATGGACACTCCATAAAACTCGGATTATGCAAATCTATGCTATTATTAAATTTCTTTTTAAAAATGACTGTAAAGTTTAAAATGAAGGCAATCAACCAGGCACGCCCTTAATCCAAGCACTCGGGAGGCAGAGGCAGGTGGATCTCTGTGAGTTCGAGGCTAGCCTGGTCTACAAGAGCTAGTTCCAGGACAGGCTCTAAAGCTACAGAGAAACCCTGTCTCGAAAAACAAAACAAACAAAAAACTAACAACAACAAAAACCATCTAAAATGAAGCCAATCATAAAAGATCAAGGATGGGTTTCTTTTTTAAAGATGAGATTTATGAGGTTTAATAATTTATTTCTGAAATAGGAATTACTTCGGCTGGTCTAAAATTCAATATGTAACCAAGTATGATCTTGAACTCTTGATCCTCCTGCCTCCATCTAAAGGACTAGGATTGCAAGTATGCCCCACCATGCCTGGTTTTTGTGGTCCTGGGGTTTGAACCTAGGGCTATGGGCATGCTAGGCAAGCATTCTGTCAACAGAGCTCCAATACCAGCCCAAAAGAATATGATCTCAACCTGTGTCTTTCCCACCTTTAATCCCTCACTCGGGAAGCAGAGGCAGACAGACCTCTGAGTTTGAGGCTAGCCTGGTCTACATATATATTGAGTTCCAGGCCAGCCAGGGCAATGGCATGAGATCCTATCTGAAAAATAAAATAATCAGAAGAGTCAATCTCCTTTTACAGAATGAGACAACTGATTACAGTTTTGAGCTGTGAGGAATCTTTATTCCCTTGGGTGAAGGCAATCAGTGGTGCCCAAAGAAACAGCTCTGACCCTAGAATTCTGGGCTGTGGTGGAGACCCTCCCCTCTAAGCCATTCTGTTGCATTCTCTTCCCCTGGCTTGGCTTCCTCCCTCCCTCTCTACAAGTCCCATCAGCGTCTCTGTTGTGTCATAGGGTCATTACCTTCACCAAGGGAAAAAGTGCCCAAGAGAGCCCAAAGATGGAAGATGGAGTGACCTGTATGCTCAGATATTCTAGGCCCTGTCTGTGGGAGAGCTCTTTGAAGGGACAAGAGCTTGGTCATCGTTGTCCTGCTGTTCTGCATCCTGCAGCAGCCTGTAGAATGTTCCCGAAGAGCTCTCGTGGTACGGTGCTTCCTTGGACACCATCAGCCTCAAGCTGGGGCTGTAACAATGATGCCAAAAGGAAGAGATGCCGTAGATTCCCAACAGGCATAGGGCATTGATCATCACATGCCAACAGAAGAAGGTGGTGATGAACATGATGTCACTGATGTCATCATCCTCCCATGGGAAGCCGGAGACGGGTCTAAACAGAATGAAGCCTGCCTGAATTAGCCACGAGCCCATCACCAGGAACAGGAAAGTCTCTATCATCCAGAGGTGAAACATCTCAGGAGCCCACAGCCCTGCCGTCAACACCAGCATCAACAGGAACACCACCAAGACGAGGAGAGAGTGAACCTGGAGCTCCACCCCGGATGAATCCTTAACGTGGGACACCAGCAGCAACAGCAGCACGTAGACGCCCAGGGCCATGGAACCTCTTTCTAGGGTCACCCACCTCTGCCGCAGCACGCTCTTGCTCACAGTTTCTACACAACCGTCAAGGGTGAGGAGGGTGAACATGGTGAGGTGCTGCCACTCCTTGGGGTACATAAACCTTGGTGGCATCCCTTTGCTCATAAATTTCAGCCCTCCTTCAATACAGTTGACCTCATAAACTATTAAGAGGGAGCCAGTCACTGTCTTCAAGTAGCCTGTATGGGCTAGTTGCCACAGCCTGGCCCATCTTCCCTTATTCGTAGGGTTGTGGGAAGGATGCAGAAGAGAGTCATTGAATATCACAGCTCTGGAGACGACTATTGCTCGATACAGTCCATATAAGACCAGAAACAAGCCCGGACATACATGACCGATAAAGTCTCCCATTGAGATTCTAATCTAACAAAATGCAAAACTCAGGTGGAGGCCCTTCAGGTTCTAGGCTTGGGGAAGAACTGTCTCTCAGTTCGTTTTTATCATCTCACGTCACCCACTGCTCCCCACAGAGAGGAAACATTTCTTGAGACAAGCCTACACATTTGGTGGAAAAATGGTCTCATTAGGCAGTTCCACTCTGGCGCACCGGGGACTGAGTGGGCTTTCAGGGGTTCTTCGCCATAGCTTCCGAGGGGCTTTGGCTCATACTCAGCCCTGGCTCCAGTTCCTTCCTCTCATCCAGCTTGGTACTCAAGTGGAAAGGCGGGGAGGGAGATGGTGGGGTGGATTGCAGTGGTGTTCAGCAAAAGCCTGTGCTCCCAATCATCTTTGGAGTAATTCTCAGATCTGACTTCAGTCTATTTACAAAGGCCTTCGTTCTGGGCACAGACATTTTAACATTTAGGTGGGAGACCATATAATAGCATCCACCTGACTTTTCTAGTCTTCTGTAGGAAATGTATCTTAAAGATCACAGAGAAGTTTCTACTCTTTCCCTCCTTCCACCCTCCTCCACCTTTCCCTGACTTCCATCAACCCATCACCATCTTTGTGGGCTGTAGACAAACATGCAGAAGGTGCATTTTGAGATTTTTTTTTAAGGGACAGTGGTAGCGTACCTGTGCCAGCAAAACTAAGTTTGAACGATGTTTCCCAGAATTCCTTTCCCCACATGGCTCCAAGCAAAGGTCGTGGACGGGGAAAGTTTCTCAAGAGTCATTTATAGTGTATCAGGAAGTAGTTCACCGGCTCCATTTCTCTCCGATGCTGGTTAGCAGCCAATGAGCATGCGCAGAGGGAATTGTGGCGAGCAAGGTACAGGAAACAGAATGTATGTGCGCAGCGCACGAATGGTTCTGGATTTATTGCTGTCACCAGAACCCATGAAAAATCCAGTTATGGTGGCACGGGCATGCAACCCAGATACTGTGGAAGCAGAAGCAGGCAGATCCCTGAGGCTCACTGGCCAGTCAGCCTATCCTACTCGGTGAACTTCAGGTCAGTAAAAGAGAATGGATGGATGGTGACTGAGGAGCAGCACCCAATATGGCCGCCACATGCACATCCACATGAACACCACACACACACACCCGTGCACACGTCCCACAGAACATCGGAGCAACAAAGTGCCCTGTAGGTACCATTGTTTGGCCTTGTGATCTCAAGCTGACTAGAGCCGGGGGTCTTCCCAGTGCTGGCAAAAATCCTAAAACAGGGCTGGAGAGATGGCTCAGAGGTTAAGAGCATTGCCTGCTCTTCCAAAGGTCCTGAGTTCAATTCCCAGCAACCACATGGTGGCTCACAACCATCTGTAATGGGGTCTGGTGCCCTCTTCTGGCCTGTAGGCATACACACAGACAGAATATTGTATACATAATAAATAAATAAATGTTTAAAAAAAAATCCTAAAACAAGCCATTCTAGGCCAGGACCTCTGTAATCTGTTCTTTCTCAGGGCGGCTTAACACCAGAAAACTGAACCATCTCCCTCTGCCCTTAAAAAATGGCAGTAATTCAGATTGCTCCTGGCTGCTGAGAAATTTGGTAGGCTGTGGAATGAGTGTGAAGACAAACTGGGAAAATAAAGCTTCGTTCTGCCTTCTAAATGAACCTCTCTTGCTTATTTGAATTTAAAATTGTGTAGTGTGCAATCGCTGTAGGGAAATCGGGGAAACTGTATAAGCAAAAAGAACATTGCAAATTGCCCATAGGCAATCTTTTTTTTTCATCACCCCCCCTTCCTGGTTATAGGGAATTGTTTATTCTCAAAACACTTTTCTTGCTTTCTTTTCTAAAAATAAAGATCACCAGCAATCTTACAACCTAATTGCGACCATTGTCACCAACGAGGTGGTGATTCGGACTTAAGAGCACAAGCAAGGGGAAAATACATTTATGTATTTGTCTGAAGTTGGAATTTGGATACTACCACTAGCTCATGTCTGACAGGGTCCTACTGTGTAGCTCTGGCTAGCCTGGAACTCAATATGTAGACCAGGGTAGCCTTGAACTCACAGAGATCTGTCCGTCTCTGCCTTCCAAGGGCTGAGATGGAAGAGGAGGAGGTGGATGGGACTTAATTTCCTGTAAAGCAGAAGTAAGAAGGTATGGGTGCTGCTGTGTAGAGGTGAGCCCTGATTTCTCCCTTTTGGTGAATTAGTAAAATATCAAGCCTGGTAGAGCTGAATGTTCTGCAGGAGGCTATTCAAAGGGGAGAATCTATAATGACATTAACAGGGGCGGGGTGGGGTGACTCTGGGGCTCTCTTCAGCTCTTGGATTCACCCTGGACGAGATATAGGACTCATTGGTCTACATGTCATGGGCCTGTGGGGGTAGAGTCCCATGTAGTCCAGACTTGCCTCAAACTCCAAACATGATGAAGAATGACCTTGGACTTCTGATCCCTCTGCTTTCCTCCTGTATATTGGGATTGCAGGCATGCACGGCCATGCCAGGTTTATATGGAAAGCAAACCCTGGGCTTCATGAATGTCAGGGAAGCGGTTTCCTAACTGAGGAATATGCCCAGCCCTGAATGTTGCTTCTCATCCGCTAGGGCTGTGGCAAGGTGGGAGTGTCAGAGCTGGCCCCATCCTGCCCTCATTTGTCCGACTATGCCTGGCAGCTGTGAGCTGAGCATCAGTGGTCAGAGGAGGATGAAGAGCAGCTCTGGCTTCACAGCAATGAGAGGCTCGAACTGACATGTGTGCAGGGCACGTCGCTCTCTGAGGCTCCCATCTGGGGTGATCAGATCCCCACCTTGGCCCAACATTGGAGGATACTCACATGAGCGTCCTGATCTCAGGGCTTCAAAGAGAGGACTTGTCCATCCGAAACCAGACCTGCCCACGGTCGTGCCGAAGGAAGCCAAACATGGTGAATGATTAGCACAACTTCCAGACAGCTCCGCAGTCTGGGAACACAGAGTAACTGAGAAGTTGTTCAGCTGGGGGAAACTCGGCTTAACCACGGAAACCCATGAAGGTCTGTCATGGCCTGGCTGCTCCACGCTCAGGCTCACCCTAGACCCAACTTTTCTACCAGCCAGGCTCCACTTCTGAGAGTCCCTCAAGAGCCTGGTGCCGTTTGTACTAACTACATCATGAGATTCCAGAGTGTGCAAGCAGGTACTCAGGAATTGCTGACTGCTGGAATTCTGCTGTGTACATGAGGGCATGTCAAGAACTGGGCGACATAGTTCTTACCCCAGCGAGCTTACAGTTCACCTGTGTGTACCCTAACACCATCTAAACCACCTCTACACCGTAGACTTAAAATTAACTTTCTCACTACCGTATTAGATAAATATGAGAGGTAGTGGGATATTGTAATCGTTTTACTTTATTTAAATTTTTTTAAAAAATTTATGTATTTTGATCATGTTTTCCCCATCCCCTAATTCCTCCCAGATCCTATCCTTCCCACCTCCCTGTCCACTCAATTTCTCTCTCTCTTTCCCTAAGAACAAACAAAAAATGAAAATTAACCAAAAGACAGAAATTGCCAACACAAAGCAAAAGTACACACACACACACACAAAAAAAAAAACCCTTATAAAACACATGGAGTGTGTTTGTGGTGCCCGACTGTTCCTAGGTATGGAGCCTGCTCTGCAGTGTTGTTGATATACCCAGTGACACGTCATTGGAGAAAACTGACTTTTCCTTTATCAGCAACTATCAGTTGCAATAGGTTCTTGGTTGTGGGGGAGTGGGACCTCCATATCTACTTCCCCTTCTCGGTGCAGGGACCCCATCTGGCGTAAACCTGTGGAGGTCCTCTGTGTGCTGCCTCAGTCTCTGTGAGTTCATATGTCTATCAGTCCTGTGGTATCTGGAAGACTTTGTTTCCCTGAAATTATTCATCGCCTCTGGCTCCTAACCTTCTAGTCTCCTCTTCTGCACAGATCCCTGAGCCTTGAGATGCGGGACTGATAAGGACATCCGAAGTCTCTCTGCTCCTTGTCCAGTTGGGGGTCTCTGTGTTAATTCCCATCTTCTGTGATGAGGATCGGTCCACGCACGGAGCTGTGGGTTTAGCACTATGCTACGGGATGTATTGATCATATATTTCATTACAAAACATTATTTCAACAAGTATTTTTTTCTATATAAATTAAGAACTGGTTAATGCCAAGCTTCTGAGCTCCAGAACTTCCATTTCCTTCTCCTCACATGTCTCTAGACAGGTTAGGTCATAGTATCCCAGTCTCATGTGTCTATGTGACTATGCTCACGCGCTAGTGACCAATACGTATCCTTTGATGTCTGGCCAAAGTGGGGATCTGATCTCTCTAGACAACAGACTCAGAGTGCGACGTGCCCTGCACACCTGCCAGTTCCAGCCTCTCACTGATGTGAGGTCAGGGTTGTTCTTCCCCTGCTGACCCTTGATGCTCAGCTCGCAGATGCCAGGTCGAGCTCCGGGAAAGGAGGGCAGGACAGGGATAAGCTCTGTTACCACCAGTTCATGTGAACCATGGCCTGGAAGACTAGAAGCAGTATTAAGAGTGGTTGCTATAATGGGTTGTACACATTAGACAGAATAACATATTATATGAAATGTGTGTTTTAAATTTTTAGTTAATGAGGCGGGGTATGGAGGTGCACGCCTTTAAACTCAGCACTAAGGAAGCAGAGGCAGGCAGTTCTCTGAGTTCAAGGCCAGCCTGGTCTACACTTGGAGTTCCAGGACACCAGAGCTATATAGAGAGACCCTGTCTCAATAAACAAAGTCACACAAAACAACAACAAAAATAAGAAACAAAACCCAAAACTTTTTAGTTAGTAGGGCTGGGCGTATAGCACAATTGGCAGAGTGTTTGTCTACCATGAAGGCCTGAGTTCTGTTCCTAGCATCTCATAAACTGGGCATTTGTAGGGCGTACCTGTAACCCTAGCACGGGAGAAACAGAAGCAAGAGGATCCCAAGGGTAAGGCCATCCTCTGCT